CGAGAGCCAGGGACATACTGTCACCCATGTACCAGCTCCCCAGTGATAGTTGCCAGGCTATGTGGGAGCAGATCTTCCACAAGGACCTGCAGAAAGACCACAGAGACCTGAATTGACTGATAGCCCACCGAGCTGTCCCAGTGAAAGCACAGACACACAGAGAGGGGCAGAGAGGTAGACTGAGCTGCCCTAGGGCAACCTGCCAAGGTGGCACAGAAACCATCAACCACCTCATTTGGCTATGTTTGTATGCCAAGGAGGTGTGGAAAAAGGTAAAACAACTCTATGAAGCAGTTACAGAGGTTGGACAGTTGACAAGAGAGGTGGTGCTATACTGGCACCTGTCTAAACACTAGCGGAGACCGTCAGCCCACTTCAATCAGTTTGTGTCCTGCATCAGGAGTGCCCTGTAAAAATCCAGGAACGTCCTGATGTACAGACATAAGAACCTTGAGGTGGTGGACTGCGTTAAAATGCCTCTGAGCGAACTCCAGTCCTACTACCAGAAATCAGTAAGAGAGGATGAGGAGGATGCAGGCAACTCCAACTGGCAAAGGGACACTTGGCACAGGCTTTTCAAAGACCACCCCCAGAAGGGGAGTGGACAGTGACAGAGAAGAGGACAACAAGGCAGCCGAACGTGGAGACAGCAATGATGACAGCAGCAGTGAAACTGACAGGGACAGTAATAACGACAATGAATGAACTGAATGGGTATATACTGGTTTCTGATCACTTATAACTGTAAAAATGTAATGTCTGTACTTGGCCCTAATGAGAAATTGGTCATGTGAATCCATATGTATATGCATCTTGGAGACTAACTAAATAAACAATATATGTTATAAGCTTTCATGAACCTGAGTTCACTTCATCAGATGCTCTATAGCAGGCTTGTCCAACATACAGCTTGCGGGCAGCATGCGGCCCACCAAGGCATTTTCTTTGGCCCACGGTGCTGCGATGGGAAACCCCTTGTCCCTCCCCCAGCAGCTTCCTAATGGTTGCTGAAGGGCTGAGGAAGGGACAAGGTTCCCACATGCACCGCGTCAGCACGGTGCGGCCCGGCCGGGTCCCTTGCGGGGCTGGACCCCTCCCTCGCCAGAGGTGGTGCTGGCTGCGGCTGCTGGGTGGCCCTGCCCGCCTGCCCCAAGGAGCCAGTGCCTGCCCGGGCCGCCGCAGCCAGTGCCGTGGGCTCGGGGCAGGCGCAGAACAGAGCCTTCACTTGAGAACTTTGCTGCCAGGTGGCGGAGGAGTGGCTCCGCTCGCGGGCCCAGGACATGCCAGTCGCTGGCGGGGAGGATGCACATCTGGGAGTGCCTATCCTCCTGCCCCCGCCTCCCCGCCCCAGCACGAGCCCGTGCCCGTGCCCTGTGCTGCCGGAGCGGCGCCCCTTGGGAAGCCAAGCAGCGGCTGCTGGCACTGCCGGCCTGTGCTTGGCTCCTTACCCACCCGCTTCAAGCCAGCCCCCCTGCCCCGCCCCCCCCCCCAGCCAGGCGGC